TGTGAATGGGCAAATTGCTGTCCAACATTTTCTCCTGTAGCTTCCCATGCTCTTGGACCATTCATGTCCTACGATTTATGAAAAAGAACGTCAATGAACATAATAAATAAAATAAAAAAGGATATACACATATGACTATGACTTAGTATATACCTCGTTTGTTGTATAGCTTGCCTGTGAAGCATGGTTCAAGTGGTATCTTTTATTATGTCCCTTTTGACCGCAAATACTACATTTCAATTTCTTCTTGCCATCTCCTCTCCTATCAAGCTTCCTCATCTTCTCTTTGGACAATACAGCTTCATCGACCCCTCTTCGATGCTTTGTCTGCTTCATGCCTCTTTTTTTGGTCACCCAAGTTGGGGGTTTCACCGAGACGAAGCCACTTGAAGGCCACATTGTTGGTCCATTTATAGGGTATATGCAATGCCCGTAAACTTTTAAGTAAGTTGCAACTTTGTAGCTCTTGTCCACAAACTGCAAAGGATCCTTACCCCACTCACGGATGCCGGCTATTGCGTGTGGACAAGGCACACCAGTTAGATCCCACTTTCTACATGAGCATATCCTCGTTTGTAAATCTACCACAAACTGACTAACGGAATACGGTCCAGAAATTTGAAATTGCATTTTCCCATTGAATATTGCTTCCCATGAAAATGAATCACGTATACTACTTTCAAGTTTCTTTAAAATATTTGGACATATATCGCTTGAACTCCTTGCCATGAAATCGCGGCGTTTGTACATCCGCACCATCGCCTAGTTTTGAATTGACTGAAGGAGAGTCAAAATATCCTTCTCCCTCGCTTCCTTTATGTAGTTGTTAAACCATTCACAGAGATTGTTTAATAAAATCTCACATTTGGAAGCCGTCATGAAGTGGGACTTAGACCATTGCTCAGCCGGTTTAGCACATAACCACTCCCAGGCAGGTTTCTTCTCCTCCTTAATCTTGTCCATCCAACCTGTGAACTCAGCCAAATAAGTGGACTTAGTTGCTCTCCACAACAAATCCCTGAGTGTCAATGATTAAAAGTCTTTGTAAAAGAAGTTGGAGTACATATGCCTTACACAAAATCGATGCTCAGCCATTGGAAACAACTCGAACACCATATTGTCCAACACCTTTTGTCTGTCAGACATAATTGTGACTCCATATGCATTTTCGAGCATCAAATCTCCCCCCAACAGTTTCAAGAACCACAACCAACTAGCATTACTTTCAGTTTCCACAATGGCATTCGCAATTGGGAATATACAATCATTCCTATCAATACACACCGCAGCAAGTAACTGACCACCAAAATTACCTTTCAAAAAGCACCCATCTATGCAAATAACGGGTCTACAACCACCTAAGAAGCCCTTTTTGCAAGCATCAAAGCAAACATAAATCGCCTTAAACACAAGCTCGTCTAAAGATAGAATAACAGTTGATCCTGGGTTTGTTCTCCCAACCTCAGCTGCATACGAACCCAACAAACCAAATTGCCCAACTAGCGATCCTCCAAGCAACCCTTTAGCGTATCTTCTAGCCCTCCACGCCTTTGCGTCGCTAATCTCTACACCATGCTCTTTCAAAACAGTTGTTTTAAACAATTTCACATCCCACTTTGGCGCAATAGTAAAGGTCTCAATGTATGTAAGGGCTAACCAACTAGCGGATACACTTATATTATTGAATGCTCTACTACAAGTACGATTCCATTCGAACGACTTAATCTGCCATGCAGAATCTTCCTCCAACGGCGAAGCCCAAATACGTCATGGACACTTTTTATCTTTGCAACGACCTTCTAATCTGTGTCTATCATTATACGAGAAGAGCACCTCAAACCTATTGGCAATGCTGAAGTTTTTAACCACAACCTTTAACTCCTTTTTCGACCTAAACTTCAGTTCTACCTCAAGCACGGGATCCACCATATCTACATCACCTTCAAATTCTGGGTATGTAACAACTTCGTCACTATCAGAATGAATGCTTCGAATGTCATCTAAGGGTGCATATTCAGAATTGTCAGATTCATCTGCTATTTCCAACAAATTCCCCACATCGAGTTCAACATTCTGGGAAACATTTCCCGCAAAGAGCATGTCGTCTTCTTCCCCAGGGCTATAAATATAATCGGAATAATTGAAGGTAATGTCTTCTTTATCCGAATCATTGTTGAAATAACCTAGACAGTGGGGGATTACCGTATCATCATCCTATTAAATAAAAATTGAACAATAATTACATGATTGACACTTGAATAAAATTA